TTTAATATTTCAGGTGGCCGAAAAATTCAACTACATGTCAAAATCGAAGAGGTTTCTCATATTTTTCGTTCTCATGTTCATGCCTAAAATATTCCAATATCTTAACATCTCTCTTATGCATCGCGAGACTTGTGCGGAATTGATGAGAATGTTAAAGGCTGCCAAAGCTGAGAGGAGGCAATCGGGAGTTAGGTAAATTTCCTTTGTGAATTGCTCAAAGTAATTGATATAATTTTTATCCTACTTCATACAGTTTTATTATAACATTTTGCAAAACATAACAAAATATGTCAGTAGAATATAAACTCAAATTATTAAAATATGCTACAACTTTATGAAATTCGCATAAACGGTTGACTTCTCTCTTAAATCAAGGAGTCGGTTCTTTGGAATTTGTCGTATTCAAAATTATTACACTTTGATAGTAATGTCTGCTTTGTATGAGTATGAAACAACAATTTTGTTACAGAAAAAATGATTTCTTACAATTACTCCTCGACACATACGAGGAAGATAAAAAATCAGATAACATGAAATGTAAGTTCCTTTTATTTGTATGTAAGCATTACGATTAGAGCCGTGGTAGCTTAATGGTTTGACCTACCGCCTGTCAAGCAGAGGTCGTGGGTTCGAATCCGGGGCTAGCACCTCTGAGTTTCTCGGAATTTATGTGCGAAATTTAATTTGAAATGTACTATGAGGTTTTCGGTGAAGGAAAACATCGTATTGACACGTGTACGTCGAAAAAGATTCACAACATTACGAGTGTTTTCTTTACCATTCGCAGATCAGAATGAGCATGCATATTCTGGGCTAGTACACTTCACCCCCATCCACATGTTCACTTTCCACTAGGCAGGCTTGTGAAGAAACGTGACTTAATTAAAAAAGCCAATGCAGAAAATGTTTTAAAAAATAATTTGGTTTTGTGGCCATCTACAGCTCGAAAAACATCATAACTTAGATAATTTAAACGATAATTTAGAACATTCTGAAAATAAATTTTCTTTCGTAGGTAATCGCATGATGACCTTAAAATTGTCATCTTGTTACATTAGTGCACATAATAAAACAATTCTCACAATAACACAGTTATCTTTTTAAGCAAGGAATATCAACATATTATTTATAATAAGTGTATTATATTGGCACAACATGTGTGTTATCTCTAAAACAAACTGTGTCATTCTAACAATAAAATATTGTTTTCTCTACACAATAGATATTAGTTATTTATTCATGGTAATCTACTTATTTACGTACTTGTATTATGAAACAAAAATCTCTTCGCATTGTTTTGTTCACACATAAAATGAATATAATTATAATTATTAAATATACTTCTTATAATTAACATAAAATATTTCAGGTTTGGACGATGATACAATCGACGCACAAGCCTTGCTATTTTTAATAGCAGGCTACGAGACCTCTGGAACATTATTATCGTTCGCCGTACACACATTAGCAATACACCCTGAACTACAAGAAAACCTGAGGGCTAATATAAAGGAAGAAACTGAAGGAAAAGAACTAAGCTATGATCTGCTAATGCAGTTGCCGATGCTTGAAGGATTTCTTTTAGGTAAGGTTTAAAGTAAGTAACTAGGCACTCGTGTTATGGAAGTCGGAAACAACGACGGTACCACAAACACTCACACCGACATAAGATAGAAAAGTTAGTTTTTCTACATACCTGGCCGGGGATCAAACTCGGAACCTCAGAGATGGCGACGCCATGAAAACCGGCGTGCAAGCCACTCGACCAAGGAAGTCGTCAAATTCCCATAATAGTTGCAGAGCTACTCAGAGTTTTAAATCACAAAGACCTGAGGGGTACTGCCACGTCATCTATCACCCTGAGACAAAGTTGCTAAGTCCCATGTGCCTGTAATCTGACCAGCAACCTTTCCCCTTCAAAACCGAAATGCTGTAATGCTTACATTAATGCTTGGTGGCACAAGTAGGTATAGTGGCAATACTTCCCTGGACGAACTCTTGCACAATGAGCTCTACTGCTGCAAGTAAACAAATAGAAAGATATGCAAGTATATTCCTATGTGTTGTTATGTGTTTATAATATTTGTATGTAGGTATATATTTATCTACGTATTACTCTGTCAAGAGAGTGCCGGGAAAAGCTCAATAATACACAAAATGTTAGTTATTCATTCAAATTTATTTTATCGCCTTCAAAGTATGTTCGTTCAGAAACGATACACTTACGCCAACGAATAGTCCAATTGTCAAAACATTTTTTTAAACGCTTTTTCCGGAATTGAGTTCAGTTCTTGTCGCGAATTCTCCTTTATGTCTTCTACCAAACAAAAACGTGTGCCACGAAGTGGTAATTTAAGTTTAGGAAAAAGAAAGAAGTCGGCTGAAGCCATATCTGGTGAATAAGGTGGTTGCTCGGTGGTATTTGTTGAGTTTTTGGTCAAAAATTCGTTCACAATGATGGCCTTATGCGAAGGCGCATTATCGTGATGCAAAATTTGAGAATTTGCTTTCCACAAATCTGGCCTTTTTCGGCGAATTTGCTCTCTTAAACGCCGCATAACGCTCAAATAATATTCTTTATTTACCGTTTGACCTTCCGGCAAGAATTCCGAGTGCACAACATCGCGATAGTCAAAGAAAACAGTCAACATGACTTTGACTTTTGATCGACTTCGTGGTTTTTTCGGTTTCGGTTCAGTTGGAAGGCGCCACTCCGAAGCTTGTTGACTAGTTTGCATGTCAAACTCGTAAACCCACGTCTCGTCACCAGTAACAATGCGTTTCGTGTTGGGTCGGAATTGACTCGTTCTAGCATGTCCTCAGCGACTCTTATGCGATTGAGTTTTTGGAAGAAATTCAGGTCTTTTGGGATTAGCCGAGCGGCAACATGTTTCATACCCAAGTGATTATTTAAAATGGTACGTATCAACTCGTGGGACACATAAAGTTCAGCGACTCGATCGAGACTACCTCCATGAGCTAAACGGGTTACTACCACGGTTTTTTTGTCATCCAAGTACCTACGCAGAAGTTGTATAAAAAAACCTTTAGTATAAAATTTTTGTTTCACTATAGTTTTAAACCTCGTGAAAGGCAAATTTTGTATATCAACCGGAATCTTGTTATAGAAGCGTATACATTGCCCCTTAAATGATTTTTTTGACTTTGTGAAGACGACTATCAAGAAAAGCTAGTTTATTTTTATTCCTCGTATTAATGTTATGTCTGTCACTATTTTTCATAAAGAAATTACTATTCCTTTTAACATAAATACATTTTCATAAATGTACTGTGAGGCTAGTGTAAGAATGTTAATTTCCTTAAACTTATCTCTCAAAGATACTTTGGGGCCCAGATTGTAAATTGCCCTAACTGCACGTTTCTGCAGGACAAAGATTCTATTGATATCGGCGGCATTACCCCAAAGCAAAATGCCGTATGTCATTAGACTGTGAAAGTAGCTGAAGTAAACCAATCTAGCGCCATATAAATGGGGACCCCATTGCAATTTAGCATCAAACGTTATACTTAGAAATACAACTGTATCCACAAGATTCAATTTTTCATTTCTAACTACAATGTTTGTAACCGTCTCTCTAACATTGGGTAATGTAAATTTCATACGATTTGTTTTTTTCTCATTAAGAAGTATGTTATTAACAGCAAACCAATCAACTACTTTAGATATAGCATTGTTCACATCGTCGTAGGAACATTGGTGCCTTTTAACTTTAAATAATAAGGAAGTATCATCAGCAAACAATACTATATCATGTTTTATACCCTCCATAAGGCTAGGTAAGTCATTAATATAAACTAAAGACAAAAATGGGCCTAGAATTGAACCTTGAGGGACACCTATGCTAATTGCAGACCCTGATGATCTCGTACCGTTAACATCGACCCTCTGTACCCTACCACGCAAATACGATTTAAGAAGGTCGAGATCACGTCCCGCCACACCATAATGGCGAAGTTTCCTGACCAGTGTATCATGGTACACACAATCAAAAGCCTTGGAAAGGTCACAGAATACACCAATAGCATCATGTGAGACTTCCCATGCACCATTCGGTTGTAGAGGTCGGTTGTAGAGCGACCCCGAGTGAAACCAAATTGTTTAGGAGACATTAAGTTATTACTATAAAAATGTGCACACATCTGATTTAGAATAATTTTTTCAAATATTTTACTGAGAATTGGTAGTATTGATATAGGTTTGAAATTGGTGGGGTCAGAAATACTACCAGATTTGAAAAGTGGAATAACTTTACTTTTCTTCATGAGGTCAGGAAAGACACCATCATCAACACATTTATTAAAGACACAGGCTAAGTAAGGCGCAATACAATCAACTATAGAACTAATTACTCTGACTGACCATGACCATCAAGATCAGCAGTATTTTTATGTTTATAGACTTGAAGGCTTTAACAATATCGTTTGGAAATACATGACGGAACCTTAAATTAGTGATACTAACTGCATTATTTTCTTTTAGCAAGGATTCAGCGGCGGTGGGAGATGAATTTAACGACTTAGTAGTCAAAATTGGAATGTCAGTAAAAAAAATTTCAAATATTTTAGCAACTTCTGCGTCTGTGTTTACAATTTTGTCATTAAATCTTAGTTCAAAATCTAAGTTACGAGGTTTGACCCTTCCAGTTTCGCTGTTTATAATATTCCAAGTCGTTTTTACTACATTCGCGCTGCTTTTTATTTTATTATTTATAAATATTGCTTTGGCTGCAACACAATCATGTTTAAACATTGTCGAATATTTCAAAACAAAATCAGTAAAACTGTAACTAGTGTTATAAGTCCTTTCATCGTAAAGATTATATAGCCTTTGTCTACTTTTGTGAATTCCCATAGTCGCCCAATCACTAAATTTCAATGAATTATTAATAGTTATGATTTTGGACTTAAAAACATTATCACGTTCACTTTTCACTATGTTGAAAACTGAATTATATAATTTATTGGGATCGTTAACGTACGGAATGTCAGTTAGTTTAAGCATTACATTATTTCTATAAGCTTTAAGTCGACCAATATTTATCGGAACACATGTGATATCCTTTTTTGGCATTTTGTCAACAGTTATATTAAAAGTGGCCAATTAACCGCAGTGATCAGAAGTTTATTTATAATAGATTTATTACTACGTACGGCGTTAGTATAAATGTTGTCTAAACAAGTGGTAGTAGTAGAAGTTATTCTAGTAGGCACCAAGAAAAGATTCACAAGATTATAACATTGGAAAAATTATATGAGCCTACTGCTAGCACTGGAATCTTCTAATAAGTTAACATTGAAGTCACCACAAACAGCAATATATTTATTTGGATTATTTAATTTGCCTAAATCTTCATCTAATCGTTTTTCAAATAGTTCGTAAGATGAATGAAGGGGTCTGTACACGCTTAATATAACAAGTCGTTCAAGCTCTATGCAGGATATCTCTATAGTCCGCTCAATAGATAGGCTCACAATATCTGTATGTTCTTTAAATTTTAAATTATTTTTAATAAAAATTAAAGAGCCGCCATGAATAGCTTTTTGTCTGCTGAACGAACTAGCCACCATGTGATTGTTGCAGCTAAACATGAAGATGTTTTGATAGAAAGTGGTGTTCAGTAATACAAAGAATATCAATATTATTACAGTTAATAAATAATTATATTTCTAACTCTTTGCCTTTCATGCCTTGAATATTTTGGTGCACCAGGTTTAATATACAATTTATTTTATTTCTGTGTGTTTTAGGTTGGTTTTTTACTGTCATTGTGTTGCAAGAGTATCTCTCCGTTGTCTTATTAATTAATTTAAATAATTAGAAATTGAATTATTTTCAACAGAATGATATTGTCAGTAAACTGACCTATGTCTATACTTATTGACAAAGAGGTATTTTTTGATTATAAACAAGATTCCTGCAACAACAATAAGGAGGGATCAGTGACACACACAGACAGGGAGGATTGTTGTTTTATTTCTTTGCAATTGCAAACTTCTAAAAATCTGTCATTATTATATCTACATAAATCTAATAAATTATCCATAGAATGTGTGTGCTCCTTAATCTCCTGTTGCGCAGTTTCATATTTCCGTGTTATTAATTTTAATGAATTTGTTACACTATGTAATTCTGCCTGAAGGCGCTGTGTGTCACATTCATAGCTAAGCCTATTTTTCCCAAAATTTTGAGTACAATCACTCAATTCATTCAACATACTCTGACGTTCTTTTCTTAATGATATACTTTTACAAAATGCTGCATTTTTCTTTGTTAATTTGTTTGTGCTGCATATGTATTTATTAATTTTAACATATTTTTTTAATTTTTTTTACTACAATTTGAAGTTAAAGCTGTCGAATTAAGTGAGTGACTTTCACAAGCCAGATCTATGGTGATTGATTCTGAATAGAAGGGTGGTACAGCACATACCATTGAGGGAGCACTGCTGACCAGCTCATCAAATAGGGACTGCGACTGTGTTGACTGTTGTTCGTCCCTTGCTTGTTCCATTATAGTTATTTGATTGTATGCGTCTCGTAGGTCACATTCTAATGAAGAAATGCGTGCAAGGGCTTCTTCGAATGCTGCTTTGGTCGAATCCATCTACCACTATCTGTAGCTGGTCTCTTTGGTACTGTAACTCCGTAATTTGTATAAGCAATTCAGCCATTCACTTTTTAATTGCCTATTCCTATCTAAAATGTCCAATATTTCCTTTTCGCTATCGTTTCTTTCTGTTAGCAATTGCTCATTCAGTGCCTTTGCTGTTTTGAGTTCTAATAAAGCGTGTTGGAGTTTATCCTCCAATTGAGGTTCCGCAGCAGCTTTGCGAGTAAACATTGTTTATGCTTTTGAAAAAGAAAATGAAAACAATTTGAAAAGAACGTTAGCAAGAAAGACAGCTGAATCGCTCGATTACTAAATAGTGAGGTTATGTTACTTACAATTTATCCGTACAAAGACTAAATATTAGTTAAAGTAATTATAAGTTTAACTACCTGTTTATCTTAATAATTATGGAAATACTTACGAAATAGCATAGAATTTTTAAAAACAAATTTTTCCAAAGTGACTACAAAAGCTAGATAGTATAATATCATTGCCAGATATGATCTAACTAAAAACAGCACTGTATGTAATTTAAGTAACAGATACAGCTCAAACTCCGCGCCAAAATGGAAAACAATTGTGCCAATCTAACAACAAAAAATAACAAAACAATTTAATTTGGAACCATAAACAAATCATCCATTACCGATACTTTTTTTGACTGAATGTAGGTATATGAGTTTATTGTTTAATAATAATTATTTTGTAGTGTACTTTTAATGATATTCTTTGGTTGCACCCCTTTTGAGTATCCTAAATATCTATTCTAAGGTTACCTTTACGAAATTACTATATAGCAATAAGGCCGCCAGATGCACATTAACTTACTATGTTTATACTTAACTTACTATATTGTAATTTAACTGTAATTTTATGTGCAATAAAGAATATTTAATTAATTCATTCATACCAGTAAACAAATAGAAAGGCATTTATTAACTCTAGGACAAATTCGTCCTAGCTTAATATAGATAAACTTCATAACAAAAAACTTGCTTCTATGGTCTTTGGAAATTTAAAAACGAATGTCTTGGAGGTATATATCGCAAAACTCAATTCTTTCGTCTTCTTATTTAAGAGCTAGGCTCTTGTCAGTGGAGTAACCGACATCTCTGTTCAGCGCCCTGACTTTGCTTACCTGATACGACAGGACATTAACTTTTCCCTTATCTAAACTAAATAACTTCGTTTCGATCGTCATTCTGCCTCTTTTTCCTTCGATCTTCTCTTCTAGGATATTTCTAAGAGATCTGTCGTGACATCAGTTCTCTATTGTCTTTAATAAACTTCTCTTTTCTCGCACTACTCTTTACAAGTCCTCATTGTTTTTTTTTCGTAAAACTAATTTCCTCCATTCTTCTCCAGCATCACATCTCAAATTATTCCAATTAATCTGTCTTTGTCTCACTACAATACAATGCAACACTCCAAAAGTAGACCTTTACCAGTCGTTTCCTGGTCCTTTTTGAAATATTTGCTTTTAAGAGATGTTTAGTTGTTATTATTAGGTCTTTTTAACCGACTTTAAAAAAAGGAGGTTCTTAATTCAACTGTATGTTTTTTTTCTGTATTTTACACGATAACTCGGGATAAATTTGTGAACCGATTTTGATGATTTTTTTTTTCTTTTTCAATTATCAAGTGGCAAACTAGGGGATAAATGACCTTTGAAGCCGGTTTTTTAGTCTCTGTACTGAGATTATTAGCCGTTGTGATTCTTGAAATTATATTCGAAAAACTTAATTTGAATGGAAATAGTCGGTGGACTCATCTGACGCTGTAGCTAAAAGGGCGCTTGTGACAAACACCCAAAACCGAGAAAATAATGTTCAATTAAATTAAGAAATATCATTAAAATGCCTTGACCCCACATAAGTCTTTACTTAATGTTAAACATTTTCAGACACTTTTCGTTAAAAGCCAAAAGAATGTTCGGCGACGAGTTTTAGGTCAATAGTACCGTCCGTTTCTCCATTTTTGCACACGTGAAAATAAATCATGTAGTACCTATTACTTTTTTGTATAGAACTACAATTTTCTTTGTTTTCTTTCCTTAGTTTTATCTGTGCAGTTTGCCAGTTACCAACTATATTACGCAGGTTCTGATCACAACAATGACCTAGAATAAGTCATGTCGTTACTTTTTGAAATCAATGTTTCTTTTATTCAATTTTCAGAAACACTGCGCATTTATCCACCCTTTGCCCTAGTAGACAGGTTATGTGTCAAAGAATATACTCTCCCAGGAACCAATGTAATGGTTGACGTCGGCGATGTTGTATCTGTAAACATTATTGGAATCCATATGGACCCTAACTACTATCCTGAGCCGGAAAAATTCAAGCCTGAGAGGTTTATGTATGATGAAAAAAAAAATAGACCGTCGCATTTGTTTTTGCCTTTTGGCCTTGGTTCTAGAAATTGTATTGGTAAGCTCTGTTGTTGTTAACATTCGTGCTAACCCATTTTTTCTCCCTACGCTTTATGTAGTAAATAGTGTTACATTTTTGAGCTTTCCTCTACAATATTCTCATAACAACCTCCTGTTATTTACCATTACTGCCTCCGTGGCCGAACGGTTACCATGCCGGACTGCCACGCAGAGGTCCCAGGTTCGATTCCCGGGCCGGGAGAAATATTTGTATGACCTACATTTGTTTCTCTCGTGAGTTTGGGTGTAATTTGTGGTTGTCTATATGTGTGTCCATGGCACCCGCGACACAGGGTTTCCCTAGTGCGGGGCTATGTTGAGTGTGCGTATTATTATTATTATTATAACAATAAAATTTGATTACACTTATTAAAATTTTTGTAAGAATTGACAATAGCACTTTTTTCCAACAGGTAATCAATCACAAACTCGAATTTCTTTTTTCCGAATTTCATTACTCCGAAAACGGTTCGACTTTTTTTCATTAGTGCGATTATAGTTTTGATGTAAATTTGCAACACAGAAATGTGTTACAGCAGTAGCTTTGGTTTTTTTTTATTCTATTATTATTATAATTATTATTATTACACACACGTATTCTTTGCGCAGAAGTTTGTTTGGTCTAATCATGTTTATTATACTTGTTGTTCTTAGATAAAATTGTACCGCCAAACAATTTTGCCGCACAGCTCCAAATTTCTGGACTGTAGTTTGCTGGTGCACAGCAAGTCCACTTACGTAATTTTCGTCATATTATTTTGTTTTGGTTTTGCTGTCATCTGAAATGTAATTTAAAAACAATGGTCTTTGAGTATTCCATAGAAAACTTATAGGAAATGAAACTATTTTTCCGGATTTATAGTTTCAATTCCTATGTGTAACAATCGCGAAAACCTAAGAAGTCGTTAAATAATTTGTTTGCATTTCCTAGCTAGGTCGAACCCCGTCCTGTGAGTTTAGGTTAGTATATGAAAAAGCCGCACGAGCCGAGCAAGCAAAGTGAGCGTGTCGCGGCACCTACCGGCGAGTGCCAGAGTCGAATGTGTTTGCAATACCTAGAACCGAAGCGAGCGACTACAACTCGATCAAATTAACTTGCATCTCGTTTAACATATTTTCTAAAGATGCGAGGTGCTTTAATTTGACGAGTTGTATTGTGCGGCACTTTCTATACTTTTAATATTTGTAATAAGAAATAATATAACAAAAATAAAAATATTCCATTAGATACATTGGTCAAACGGTTTGTTGGGGAAATAAAAATCGGGAAAAAATAACTTGTCAATATGTTAAAATAGTGAAACATCAAACGGTATAATGAAAAAAACCGTAACGTGTTTTGGGATAAATGAAACAAAATCTATTCAATAAATATCTAAAGTTTTTCGGAGAAACAAAATTCTGTAAATCATGTTTCCAGCTTGTGATAGGTAACCTTCCAACAAGCCCTTTACAAAATTTAACACCTTGTAAACGCAGGTTTTGTCATCATATTCATATTTCTTAAATCTAGTAGTTGTTGCGAAAATAAATAAAAAATAAAATTGACTTTAAAAAGGCCCGCCCGCGCAGGATTTGTCGTCTTTATGACGATCTTCCTGAATAAAAACCGATGATATGTTTGATTAATTAATATTAGGTCAAGTTTTTTTAGTTTAATGGCCTTTGGTGCGTGCTATTTAGAGATTTTTTACTCATTATACCAATTTATTGTTAAATATTTTTCAAATTGACGTATATATATATTTGGTATCTACTTTTCCATAAACAGTATTTCCTAATATAATATAAGAACACACAAATCTAAATAACTTAAGTATTCATCTTTCTCGTCATTAGTCCTGACGCGACGTCAGACCGACACGACTGGTGCTCAAGCTTTTTCGAAATGAGCTGGTTTAAATTATATATTGAATTTAAATACAAAAACAACATTATACAAAAAAAATACATGTGTTATATGTTTGATGTAGATTCTATTTCAGTCATAAAAAATATATGTGAAAAAGTTGCTATTGTCAATTTAGTCTATTTAGAATTAATCTTTAATCTCCTACATGTTTCTTGTTTCTAGGTCTTCGCTTCGCCATGCTTTCCGTTAAAACGGCGATGGTAGCTCTCGTAAAGAACTTCAAATTTTCAATCTGCGAGAAAACGGAAAACCCTGTCAAATTTAGCTCAAGTGGTGGTATATTACTGAAAGCTGAAAATGGTCTTTGGGTACGCATAGAAGCCTTATGATTCCACAGCACATAAACAGCATTTAAAAAAAAATATATAAGTGCGCATTTGACTTCCATCTCTCTTGATGGAAAGTGACGATGAGGTCGACGATGGAGCATGCAGATTTTAAGACTTTCGTGATTATTCACTATTTGATTATCACTAGTATCAGGTTTCTTACCACGGTATGACTTCTTTTTATTTTACCGATATTTCGGAACGGTTGCACGCTCCATGATCACGGGTTGACTGGACGGCGGCAGATGACAGCTTTAAGAGCAGACATGTCTGTCTACCCTCTTGCGCTGTCGACGACTACCTTCATCGCGATTTGTTGCGGCATTACCATTGTCACTCACTTTTTTCACACAAACCACACTCACTGTATCCACACGCGAAACTAAACTCGAGGTGTTTTTGTTTTTATTACTGCACGCACTAAGGACCGGATTCCATGCACTGGACAGTTTAAAACCATCATCACGGTTAAATGTTTTGTACTTCGTGATCTCGATGGCTTCTCGTACCAACCGTGGTATGTAGTGACGTTCTGTCGAGAGTACCTGGGGGCTATGCAACTCGATCCAGTGGTTAGTGTCAGTCTGTGTGAGATATTGTGCTATAGCCGACTTCTGTGCATCATTGTTTTTTACTGCTCGGATGTGTTCCTTCATACGATCAACAATTGTTCGTTTAGTATGACCGATATACGAGCTCCCACAACTGCCGTTCACTTTATAGACACCCGGTGTTTGTAAAGGAACTACTACGTCATGTCCCACAATCTCCTCCCCGACGAACAGTTTGGTTTTAGAGCTAGGCACTCATGCGTCCAGCAAGTGAACCGGATAGTGGAACATATCTCCGAAGATTTCGATCGCCCTCGCTTCATGCCCACCGACGCCCTCTTCTTCGATGTGGCAAAAGCTTTCGACAAAGTCTGGCACAACGGCTTACTTTACAAGCTGTACAATCTCGGCGTGCCTGATCGTCTCGTGCGCATCATTCCAGACTTCTTGTCGAACCGCTCTTTCCGCTACCGAGTTGAGGGCTCCCCTCATCCTGTAAGAGCTGGAGTCCCGCAAGGCTCTGTCCTCTCGCCCCTCCTATTCTCCCTGTACACTTGCGATATCCCGAAGTATCAGGTAGTAAATCTCGCCCTCTTTGCCGACGACACTGCGCTCTATTATTCGGCGCGCAGCTCCAAGTTAGTTTCCGTGGCTCTCCAATCTGCCACCACACGCCTAGGCGAGTGGTTTCGTAGATGGAGAATCGAAGTCAATCCCGACAAAAGCGCGGCGGTATTCTTCACGCGAAGTAACCTATCCAGTCGTAGGGTACAAAACCTCACCCCGATCTCGCTCTTTGACCGCCTAATCCCTTGGGTGAACACGGTCAAATACTTAAGAGTTAAGCTCGATAGGAAGCTGTCATTCAAAGCACACGTGAAAAGCGTCCGCGATCGCGCCCACTTTGTTATGAGCCGGCTCCACCCCCTTCTCAACAAGCATAGCAAACTCTCCCTTCGCAATAAGGTGAGATTGTACACGACCTGCCTCCGCCCAATCATGACGTCTCTCAGGCAAATCCCGCGCTTATACGCCACCTGCAGGCTCTCCAAAATAGATTCATGCGCAACGCGACGGGTGCCCGTGGTACCTGCGCAACGCTAACCTCCACATAGATTTACGGCTCCCAACAATAGCCCAATTCATGAAACAGGCATCGAAGAAATACTTCGACTCTGCTCCTCACCACCCCAAGCCCCTCGTGGTGGCTGCATCCTCTTACGACCCCCTCAGGGAACAACCCCACGGCGTAAATAGGACCCGTCGGCCAAGGGAAGTCCTCAACGACGCTGGCGACCCTATCACTCTCGCCACTTTGAAGGCCAACCAGATCGCTCAGTCCCGTCCCTTACGCACCAACAGTCCTCGCCGGCGAGGTCGTAGAGCCCCTCATTTCAGCACGTGCACTGGTAGATTCGCTCCTACAGCACGCCCTTCTGGCAGAAGTCTCCAGTAACGCCCTGAGCCGAGGTCCGTGCCCACTTGGGCGCCCTCAGGCCCGCTACTTAGCTTTAAGTTTATTTTAGGGATTATGAGCCTTCCGCTCGCCCTTTTCTCCAGTGGCGCAGTCAAGGCCATAAGCGGCCAATTGCAAAATATCCTATATAAAAATAAAAAAACCCTGTTCACTCTGATTTTCCTTCAAAACGCATACATCTTTCGCCTTTTACTAAAGATTTACGTGGAGGGGAACACGCAAATGAGGCTTGAATAATTTTTTGTCGCCCTGCTAACACGGGGCCTATAATATATACGTTTAACTTTGCTACCTAGGCAAGCTGTACTACAAACTAGGGATAGGTAATATAGCTTTTTCTGAATATCGTATTGAAACTATATATCGATGTTCGAAATCGGATTTCGAAACTATCTATTCATGGATACAGCCCGCGTGCACGCTGCGTTGATACATTGCCGTTACTGATATTCGGAATCAGATTTCGAAACTATATATTATTGGATATAGTTTACTGATATCCACTCAGTGAATATCTGATACGAAGCAATATCGATATATAGTTTCTAAGATACACGATATCGGATATTCGATATTGCCATAATATATAGATTCAATAACTATATATGATTTGTAATGCCCATTCCTACTACAAACAATAACATAAGTATTGTTTTATGGATTTCTTGTTTGGTTTTGTTTAACTGTATTGTATTCCATTGATTTATTCAATATTTTGAAATTATTGTGCCTTTTTTTACTAATGTGAATGTTAGTAAATTTTAAAGTAGGTAGTGGGTAAGTGATAATAATATAATAGTAATATTATACACGCAGCATTATTTTTGTATTATTTAGGGGCATTGACTTATAGGGGTAATAGTTTATATAAAATGATTATAAGTGAATTACAAAGATTTTTATAGGTATACATAATAAGTGATTAGAAATGTACAAATTGTAATTTGTAAAATTTTGCCTGTTACCATTGTGTCTGCATTTCAAAATATGTTTTTACGAATCTAAAAATGTTCTCGAATTTGTGATATTTATAATGTAGGAAGAACTAATGTTCGCAGCAAGTCATTTACATAACACCTATATTTATGTCGCTTTAATGACAACGACGCTATCTTCTACAAAAGGATAAAACTATTTCTTGGTTGCGACTGAGATCTCTAATACTAATAAATGGAATTTTAGGTCGTTTTAGGACATGAAAATTTACTATATTTTTGTCACGATTAACCTTGACTTATTTGACGTAATTGTAGAGTTTGTACCTACCTAGGTACATACTTGAAAGGTTTTTGTCTAAAACACTATCCATGTAAATGTTGTTTGACGTTAATTCGACGATTTGTTTTATTTAATCATATAGAAACTATTATACATATGGCAATAAATCGACGATTTGTTTTATTTAATCATACAGAAACTATTATACATATGGCAATAAAGTAATATAATATTTTTCACTTCTCAAGCTCTTAAAGTACGTATTTATGCTGGTTGTAGGCTGCATAAAATGGGATTTTATGGTCTAGTGCTTATAATAATAGCGCATAGAAACCTAGTCCGCACACGCTAAGTGAGGCAAATTGAAGCGCGCCCAAAGGGCCTACACGAGCGCGCGGGCCTTCAGTGCTTAAGGTCAACTTGCACCGCGAACAGATCAAGAATTTTAGCTAAAAATGACGAAATGAGTGTAAAAATACGTCAGACAAACAAAATAGATACTAACATCATATTCCACAAGGAAGTAACGCGTTTCAACTTGTATTTTTACATAAATATTCACTAAAACCGAAAATTAACCTACTAAATTAAACTACTAAAACTAGGCTACATGAATTTGATTTTTGTGACAGTTCGTTTGATATGAAACTATAATTCTATGCATTGACTTAAGTCAATGATTCTATGCGTTATTATTCTAAGGCCTAGTGCATAAAAAAACCGTCACATTAAATATGTCTAATTATTGTAATTTTACGTTCAATTTTAATCAAATAATCTTTATTCGTTTATTTGTTATATTGCTGTTTAATTTCCTCGCAATCGAAGTGAAAAGCAGAGTGTATAACTCGTTCGAAAAATGACGCGTTTTATGCACGAGGTTCTGCGTTTGATTCTCGGTGGACCCAATTAAAGGAAACGTAACATTGGCACTATTGTTCTCTCTACACTACCTATATAGTTGTTATTTTTAATACAAACATGTATGAAATTCACATCTACAAGATTACTATTCTACAAGCAAATATTACTTGCTACCGTACAGGAATCAAAAAAATACATGCACTAAATTATGCCAGTACTGTAACAAGGTTAGGTACCAGCCATTCTCTCATCTATCTATTCTCTCAGCCTAATTACCGTAACCATTTCTGTGTCCTCAGCCTAATTACTGTAGCCATTGTTTTTTCTCGCTTAATATACCCAATAACATTGAAATATGCACAACTTTATGCCCAACTATAAAATATGGTCTAAATGGCATAGGAATAGACAAAGTAGTTTTCGAATATTTTATGGAATGGATACGGTAATTAGAAAGTTCAAACATTTTTAAGAAAAACCGACTATTTCTGACACACTTGAATAATTATTTGTATATTTTCCTATATTTGGTTAATTTCTGCTGATACAAGTCCATTCAAGGTTTTTTGAAATAAATTTAAAGTAAGTTTTTTAATGTTTGGTTAGTGGTAATGATTAAAAATTACTCCAATTCTTTCTTATGATTAATCACAACTATTACAAGAATAATTTACATTTTGATTATCTCTGCCGTTAAAAAACCTTAAAAGTTCAAAGAATATTCTATATCGGTGTAATTTATTAGAAAAAGAGAAAGTGAAAAATTAAAGGTTAGGTTTGTTTAAAAAAACAAATATACGCGATTTAAATCCGGAAAAATAGTTTCATTTCCTATGAAAAATTAAAATCTAAAGTTATTTATGTGTCATTAGTTGTTCTTTATAATTTTT